TTTTTTTTTTTTTTTTTTTTTTTTTTTTTTTTTTTTAATTAATACAAGCATTCAATGCGAAATTTTGCATATCTAATCTCCCTTAAAATATCTTCTAAAATAAATAAAAAGTTGTAATAATTCATTACTATAATATAAAAAAAAATCGATTATTTTAACCCAATCGTATTCTCAGTTGGGATAATTCAATAAACATAGGATATGCATAGAAATTATTTGGTATAGTTACAGTGTTTGGAAATATTTTGTTAGTTAATCATTCTTAATAACATAAATATTACTACGAACAATGGAGTATAGAATGCATACAAAACTAGAATGTAGAAGAATGTTTTCTACTATACATCACATTGGATGGATCGTACAGCAAGGCAGTTTTGTGTACTGTGAGGTTTATTACTTGATATGCGATGCGCACATAAATAACTAACAAAGTTAGCCGTTGTACTGAGATAAGTCAGATACTAATGCTTACGATTTCAATATGAAATAATATACGCTAGAATAAAAATGTGCAAAGTCATTTGATGGATTTTTTCTTTTTTTCTTTTCCTCATTAAATTCGATCCAAGTATAATAAAGTGGCATTTGAGTCGCGAGTTGTGCGCAACTCATTAAGGCTTGAATATGTCTTTGACTCGTTCCAAATCTGAGCAAATTTATTAATGCTTCAAAAAAGTCCTTGTAAACACATAAGTGTTAAGAAGAATACAGAAATTCTTCAAAGTGTTTTAGCTTTTTCAAGTAAATCATTAATGAATTTCTGAAACATATAAATAAATATATGAACTTTTGTTAGTGTACAAGTACAAGTTTATGAGTAAAATTATAACTTTAAAACTATAAGAAATATATTATCAAGATTAATTCATTAAAAATATATGATTTTAAATAGAATTAATAAAATTAATTAATTAATTCTAATTATGAAGTATCAATTTTAAGAAAATAAAAAGTGCAGTATTAGTTTCAAGAAAAATAATATTATTACAATATTAATAACAAAGAGATTACAAGTTTATTAAGATAGATTTACTTACATTTATATCATGTGGTGGTTTCTTTGTATCAACTAGTAATTCCTATAATAAAAAACAAAATAATAAATGATCAATTTATATTCTGATAATAATTATTTAACATATATTTACATACTTGCAAAAATCTTCGTCTATGTTCATCACTATCCATATCAAGAAGTTCATCTATATCAATTTCAACTTCTCGATTTTTACCACTTTCATTCTGCAAATTAAAAAAATTAATATATGGTCATTATAATTATTTTTTAATATAGTGATTTTCAATTACAAGATACATGAATTTTAACTTACAACTGATTCATATAATTTTTCTAATTCATCAAACAACCACATTTCAACTGCAAGTCTTTTACGAATAAGAGACATCTGATGAGATCCATACTTAGCTGTTAAAAATTTTTCCCTGCGTTCCTTTACCTCTCCTTTTTCAGTAAAAGCTACATGCAAATTTGCACGTGCTGGACTGCGTTCTGCTGTAAGTACTCCACCTCCTTCCATTATAAAACTACCTAATAATTTAAAAAAAATATAGGAAAAATTGTGCAATAAAATAAAAAATTGAAAAATAAAAATAAAAATTTTAAATTAAGAATAAAAAATTATATATATGTCAATATATCTTTTTAAAAATTTATTTAAAACATTAAATCCTTAAAAATTTAATAGCATTCATTGTATTATAATCAATATAAATATTTAATAAGAAATATTAGATAGATAGTTAATAAAACAATTACAATATTAAAAGGAAAGGAATATTAAGGAAAAAGGAAAGTATGAAAGAAATGCATTGAAGTACATAGAGAGTATCTTTATATATGTATGTCCATCTAAATATCTTTATTATTTTGTGGCATATAATGCATATTTTACAAAAAAATAATTACATAAAATAAAACTCGAATACATTTTAATTTATATTATGAAAACAAAAATTGTATTAAAGAACAGATAAAAAATAAACACAAATTTTTATATTTTTTTTATCTTTTGATATGATTATTTTCTTTTTTTTTCTAATACAAAAAAATAATTACAATTCACTATTAATAATATTAATAAATCGCATAAAAAGAATGAAACTGTTACAATTACAACTGTAAAAATTAAATAATAAATGAGTAAAAATAAAAAAAAATGTGAGAACGAAATTTTTTTTTAACGCATTCATATTTGTTCCCATGGAATTAATTATGTGCATGATTTATTTGACAAAAAGTAACCGCCTAATCAATTAACAAATTGAATCAGTTATTTAAGTTAATGAAAACATATAATTATTACGCATAAATCAATTATAAATATTCTTTTTTCATTTAAAGATATGAAAAATCACAAACATGCTAACCATCTTTTGCATGCTACAATAAACAATGGGTTCCTGATTTTATTATCTCAAACGTTATTGAATGTAAATGCAACCTCAATGAAATACTTTAGCTATACAAATATTTAAGGAATATCGAAATAAAATTATAAATAAATTATTAATAGTCTGATAAAATGTGATACGACAAATTAAAATAAAAAAAAAAAATATCGTACCGACAATCGTGTAAATAAAGTGATAGGACTAGATAGATTCGCGTTTGGTATTTTAATAAATCAGCAAATTCATGTCAGCATAATATAAACAAAAACCAAACCTATATTATTCCACTATGAATACATGAATTAATAAAAAAATAATATTATTAGCGCATGTTTGTATAATCACTTGATATTACTTACACTCACTTCTTCTATTTCAGAATGTAAACTATTCGAATCGTAATACAGTATCGTAATGTCCGAATCCATACGAATAAACTTTCTTGAAGTTAGTCGTATGTAATACTATTTCTACACTAGAGCTATCATATAATACTATACCATACAAAATATCCCTATTATATAACGAATTATAATTCGAATTAACTAGGGATATTTTGATATAGAAAATTTATTATTTAGAAGAATATAAAAATATTCCAATTAGCAGAATTGTTTTAATAATTAAATCACATTACTTTTTTCTATATATATATATATATATATATGTTTGAATTTAGTTAAATTTAAAATAGCTTTAATTTAACAATGAATTATATCTCACTTCATTTAATATAAATTTACATTTTGCTTTATTTATAAATATATATAGGAATTAAACAATTAATAAATAATGAAAAAAATTTTAAAATAATATCGAAATTAAATGGAAAGAAAAATAGAAATAATAATATATAAATAAATTGAGATAAATTATTTATTAATCAAAAATAAATCAATCTTGACTGGCATCAACATTTTCTGTTTGTAAACCCTTAAAGGAAGCAACTGGTATATAAGTAACAAGGGTATACAATTTGTTTGCAGAATCTTCATCATCATTTCTTCTTCTGCTTAATCGTACACGAACTCTGAATGGTACATTCCTAAAAATATAAAATGTTATTTAAATTAATCATATTTAACATGTACAATTTAGATATTTAATTTTAATTTAGAATTTAATTAAATATATGAAATTTACCTAATTCCTTTAGACCAAAGTTGTTTATTGAGTCGTGTATCAATTCTCACATCTGGAGTTCCCATTTGTTTTTCAGCGAATTTGCGAATTTCTTTAATAGCTCGTGGAGCACGCTTTTTGAATCCAACACCATGGAGACGTTTGTGGAGATTCACTGTATATTCACGAGTCACAACCTCGCTCATAGCACTTTTACCTTTTTTTTCCTTGGATTTAGCCATTTTATGCTAAAAACAAACATTTTTCAAACTTACTGTCACGATATGACATAACCAATCTTCAATAATAAAAAAAAAAAAGAATTTATAAAATATAATTTAATTAAAAAAAAAAAATAGAATATATACATTATAAAACTAATATGTCACAAAATAAATATTAAGTTTTATAATTATTTAAATTATATTAGTATAGGAAAAGTAATAAACAAAATAGCATTGCATTTATATATTCTAATTATAAAATATGTTATATTATTAATAATGATATTAAACGTGTATTATTATGTAATAATTATTTGATGTAATTATATCGAAATTTACTTATTATTAAGAATACATAGACAGATGTTTCTTGATTTTATTTTAAATGAAACTGTCTGTACCTTTTCGTTTATACGCTTGAACGTAAAAGAACTATAGTTCTTAGCGTTCCTAAACTCATCAGCTTGTGATAGAAGTTGATAAAATTTACTGAATAAAATATTCTTATAATTAAAATAAAATTGTTTCTTCTTTCTCTCATAATTTATCATTAATATATTAAATATATAAATATACAAATAAAAATTATACATTTAATATTTTATAATCTTATATTTATATTTATATTTTTTTTTGCATGAAACCAATATTAAAATGCATATATTAGCTAATCATGTTACATAAAATATAAATTTAATCTTTATACACAGTAAAAATCAATATTCTATAATTATATTTATATTCTATATATATTATTATAATACATACAACATATTTTTATAAATGAGGAATATACAATACTTTATTAATTTTGTATAAATAATTTATAAAATTTTTTATTCAAATTTATTAATATATTATTAATTAAATATTTCTATAAATGTACTATATTTTTACTAATAATTGTATTAATAATTAATTACGTAGCAAAAATTTTTAATAATAAAGATCTTATTCTAGATATGTAATATGTGGCATAAGAAAGATCGCGCCACGATAGCTTCGAGGACGCTTGCAATGGTGGAAAATGGAGTCTATTAACCTGTGGTGTTGATACAATTGTTTTTAATCATAAAAAGCTTTTCATGGAATTAAAATGGCTGGTAAAGTGTGGAATTCAGAAATATGGAAAGCATGGGATAAACATGGAAAAAACGATTTGTAAGTGGTTAACGCGTTAACGTCCGAAGTGCGTTCGATTAATATTGAATTGATACTGCATACTCTGTGCAATTGATGGTTGCAACTTATCTCTCCTGTTTCTCGCTCTTCTGAAGAGTTAATTGTCAATTAACAACTGTTTGCAGCCTCAAGTTAATCAAGCACAAATTTAAGGAAGGCAACACTGCAGGTGAGGTTCTATGTTTTTCAATCTATTCTAACAGCTTGAGCTGTTTTAATTCAGGTACAACTTTGCGCACGTTAAAATCTATTATTTTTACACTTATTTTATTAATGTTTTTTTCTTTTTTATAAAGTAACACATCAATAAGAAATGTTTTAATTTATTATTTCAAAAATATTCTTAAATATTAAATGTTTTTAAAATATATTTAAATATCAATATTTTTGAATATCTTTTTATTTATATTTTATTATAGAAAATTTATTTATATTTTTTTATAAAATAGGATTTGTAATTTGCTATTTTAAATTTTAATAAGTTGTAATAGAAAAATAAATTAAGAAAAAATCCTTGTTTTTTTATCA